TTTTTTTTTTTTTTTTTTTACCCCTCCACCTCCTTTGAATTAATTATTTTTCAAGGGTTTTTTTTTCTTTTAATTCCTAGGTTTTGTATATATAAATAATATTAAAAAAAAAAGTGGAGTTCCTTTGGGGTTCTGGATACTCTTCCAATGTCAGAGAGAAAAGGAAACAATTATGCTATTTAAAAGGGGGGGAAAGCTCTTAATATAAATTTTCTTTTTTTTTTTTCTTTGAACAAGCATATTTATTTCCTTTCCCAGTCCCCCATGGAGCGGGCTCAGTGCAAAGGGATATTGGCCTGCAAGGAGAGAACAGTCTGAAGTGCCCCGATGGGCTTGGTGCACATCCTTGCTCTCCTTACAAGCTGCATGCTTCATGAGCAACAAGAGTTTGGCCGGGCTGCTTGAGAGAGGTGAAAAGGACTCTGTTCTCCTTCCCCAGTCCCTCCCACTTCTTTGCTTCCAGCATTAGGCCTTGGAGAAAAGGAGTGGAATCCAGCAGAGTTGCTGGAAGAGAGAGAAGAAACTTGCGGGATTTAAACACTGATAAGGCTCAACCACTTGGCTTGAGTGCTGTGACCCTGGGATGGAGCAGACATCTCTGAAGGACCCAATGCTGCTTTTCTTTTTTTTTTTTTGCCCCCCCCTTTTTTCTTTTTTTTTTTTTTTTTTTTTCCCCTCCTAACTCTTGCAATGAGCTGTAGAGGAGGAAGGAGGATCTCAAAGCCATTATCTCTTCTGCTGGTTGTTCCGACACACCACTGCTGCTATGCCATGCTAGAGAGGGTGGCAGAAGTTGAGTGTTTGTATCCCCCCCCTCCTCACATCCCCCCCAGGACAGGCAAAGGCAGTGCAGTGACCGCTGCTGCCCCGGAGGACTGAGCTCACAAACCGTTCAGTGCTTTTAGCATCCCAAAAGGAAGGGATGATGCTACCTAGACGGATGCTGGAAGAGTTAATTCCCCGTGTGACCTGTGAGGGACCTTTCCGTCCTCCATCCTGACAGCATCTCAAGCAACCTGTGTCTGACATCCTGTCACACGCTGATGCTTGGAAATGAAGAAACGGGTTGCTCCCAGGACAGCAGAGTGGTGGGAGATAGGCTGGACGGCCTCTTTGTACTTCATCTGTGTTTAATGTCCGCAAGAAACAGATGTCTCCATCCACGTGAACTAACAGCAGCTATGCAAGTAAAAACCACTAGTCTTCTACGTTTGCGTGTTTTTTCACATGGGCCAGCCAGAAGCTGCTACAAAAGGGGCATAATACGGAAAGACAAGTAACATACTCCAATCTGTGCAGACCTCCTAGCATGATGCATTGTACTGGAGTGGCAGGATGTTCCTTGTTTTCAGGTAAAAACTAAAAAAAGAACCAGCACAAGTCCCAGAGGATTCATTTATATTCCAATTGCAATTCCTTTGCAGCATGCAGCCCTGTAGCACAGCAGAGAGAAATGCCAAGCTTGAAGTTACAGCTGGAGCTGGCCCTACAGGGTCCATTCTTGGGGTCTGAAAGGCAGGTGGAGGGGGCAGAGTGACAGGGGTTAAAGTTTTTCCTTTTGCAGCTTTTCCTGAAACTCACGGTGCTTTTCTAGGCTAAGCCAAGGGAACGACATAAGCAGAACGGCAGGACAAAGACTCTGGCTCATCTTGAGTGTTCTTAGAAAGCCGATATACGGGCTGTGAAGCTTGTCAGTGCTCTTTCCTCCAGTGTTACCACTGTTTTTATTTGAAGCCATTTGTTTGTCTAGCTCATTATTTTTGTTTGATGGGGTGACTCACGGTGCTTTTCTAGGCTAAGCCAAGGGAACGACATAAGCAGAACGGCAGGACAAAGACTCTGGCTCATCTTGAGTGTTCTTAGAAAGCCGATATACGGGCTGTGAAGCTTGTCAGTGCTCTTTCCTCCAGTGTTACCACTGTTTTTATTTGAAGCCATTTGTTTGTCTAGCTCATTATTTTTGTTTGATGGGGTGGGAAAAGAAAAGAGAATCGCCTTGTGGGACTTGTCCTTCGGTGTATGAGCCAGAGCAATGTGGTGGAGAGCAGAGTCGCCTCCCCTTCTGTCCCTCGGGTTGACTTGGGAGAGTGCTGCTCAGTTTATGGTGAAATACTCTCCTTGTTCAGTGGAAGCCCGGCTCAGTGGCATGGATCGCTGGTGGACTGTGCTTTTTGTTTGTTTGTTTTTCTTTCCCCCCCCCTGCTGCTTAAGAAGACCATCCACCTCCTTGCTGCTAAGCACATCAGAAGGGTCTGCAGTTTGCAACTCCCTTCTGGAGGATTGCTCGAACTGAAGCCTGGCTGTGTTTGCAGTCCTGAGAGGCCTAATTGTCATTCCCTTCTGGCTGCGTGGTTCAAAGCGTGCACTTGGGGTTGGTAAAGAAAAGAGCATTGCTTGGCTGAAATCGAAATAGCAAGGAGCTGGAGGCTTTCCTCAGCTTTGCTCTGGGCCAGGTATTCCCTTGGCCGCAGCTGGATCTTGAGGGGAGAAAAGAGCAATGCAAACACAGAAGCAACCAAAAGGGAATGGCTGTCGTGCCGATCACGAGTGTCTCGGTTCCTGTAGCTCCCCGTGGTGCAGGATGAGAGCTGGGAGCCAAGTGCTGTGCGACGAGGGCAGCAGATGAGGTTGGTGCCGTCACTGAACAGGGTGGGAGCAAGGGGTCACAGTCCAGGGCAGAAGATGGGCGAACATAGTCCATCCGTCCTGAATCACACCGACGGCTTGTTTGGGCTGGACACAGAAGGCAGTTTAAGAACAAAAGTAAATAAACTTAACATTTCAGTAACAAGATGTTGTTGCTGAGCTGCGGTCAGCCCACTTAGGGGCCACACGGTGAAATCGGAGGGCTGCTTTCTGAAAGGCAGCAAGGCTCTTGCCTTACTTTCCTTATAACCATCCCTTAGTAACTGCCCTGGTCTCCTGACGGGTGGTTTCAATATAACCCTGGTTTTGCCCAGCTGGAGAGGAAGAAGAGGCCCTAGCCCTTCCCTGGGGAGTCTTAACTGCCATGGGGCACCTTTCAGTCCATCGTACCTCTGGGCTGAGTGGGGAGGGCTTGGAATCTTAAAAAAGGCACCTGAAAGATCCCTGTGCCACCCTGCTTCCTCTCTAGAACATGCAACTATGGTTGAAGACCTGATAAATATTTTTTTGTTGTTGGTTTGTTTTTTTTTTTGGATGCACATCCCCGGTCAGAAATAACACGAAGCTGAAAAAGTGGGAGACTTCAAAGCTCCGGAATAGTGTAGCTGCAAAGCAGCCTCAGGGAAGGAAGGTGGCAAGCTGTGTCCTCTGGCAAGTGTTGCCTTCTAATGGAGGCTCAACTTGACATCTTTAAGATTAGGGTGAAGGAAGACACTTCTCAGCCGCAATCCCAGCACTAACGATGAGTTGGAAGCTCCTCCCTGGATATAAATTGATACAGATCTGCTATGACCAAGGGCCTGTGCCAGTTTGCCCCACGTGGGATTTGGTGCATCGCTTCCAAATCCCAACCGAGAAGCCAAAAAGCAGGAGGTTGGTTTCCCTGGCCTGTTGTGTTGGTCGCTGATGCTAAGCAGTTCTCCAGGGCTAAAGAAAACTTGAACGTCAGTGGGGAGGCTCCGCGTATCCTGGTTGACTGCTCTGCCCATGGATCCCGAGTGCTGCGCCTGGGGTTTCCCCGAGAGCTCACCACAGCCTATTCGTGCCAGCCGGAGAGCGAGCGAGCTGCAAACGGCCTTGCCAAGCTAGCGTCGCGCAACGATCGAGCCTTGTGAAAGCTAGCTCTGGTCCGCTGCTAATCCGTAAGGTGCTATTGCTGTACCAACTCAAAGCTTGCTAAGACCAGCTCCAAGCTAGTCCTGTAACGCCCACTGTGCTGGGAAGGAGAGCAAAAAGAAAAACAATCTTGGTGGGCTGAGAGCGTTGGTTTTAATGTGTTTTTATCTGTTTCTTGGGTTTGATTTTTCGTTACCACCATGTTGAGCTCTTAGAAGTTTATGGGGTGACCCCAAGCCGGGAGAGCGCAGGTTTGTGGTGGTTGAGGCTCGCTGGGTTTCCCCTGGAGAAGCCTGGGGCTGTCCCTGTGCCGTGGCTGGTGGACACGGTCGCTCTGATGCTCGTTGGACTGGTGCTCAGTGGTTTCATGGGCTGTGCCAAGCGAATCTTCCTTCTGCTCCCATCCTTCCTCGGCTTGATGCCACCTGCAATGCCTTGGATTTTCACTTGCGTCTTAGATTATTTTTAGTTTTTTGTTTTTTTTTCCCCCCCCTTCTTGGTGTCCAGCAGAGCCCAGCCAGTCTGGCTGGGGCAGAAAATAGGGTGCGGGGGAAAAACAGAGTGGCTGGGAGAGCGGAGAAGGGCAGGAGGGTTGGCGCAGGATCCCCGTGTCGCTGGTCCTGCCTCTGTCTGCTGGCAGGGAGAGGACTGTTGCTTGGTTTGAGGCGAGGGACAATCATTTCTCCCTCAGTCCT